CAAAGCAAACTCCACGCCTGGGTCAGGTCATCTGGCTTACCCCCATCATTCCATGTATTCTAGAAAACAGGACACCCCAGCCCCTGAGAGGGAAAGGAAGAGCTTCAAGTCCCAGGACTGGAATGGAGGTATTCCAAAGTTCAACCCCGCTCTCGCCTTTTGCACCTCGTCTTCAGCTGGAGATGGAACTCAAGCGAGGGTGGGGAGTGCACGGAGGGGTCGAAGTCTATCCACTGTTTCAATGTGTCAGGGCTTCCAGGAACCTCTGGATGTTAGGGGCCACGTGACATTCACAGGAAAGAAAGACCTCCTCTAACTGGCGTTTGTAGGGGAGGGAGCACTCATTCCAGGTCTCATGACTCCTCAGCTGCAAAGCCAGGGCTTAAATTCAGTCTCTGGATCCCCTGCCATGGGCCGCTTATGCAGCCTGTCAGTCCACCTCGCATGCAGACCCATGTGTGTGGTCACCCTGAGGACCCTCTCTGCCCCAGAGCTTGATAACAGAGAGCAGGCTTCAGCGACAAGAAAGCGAACAGCCACGGGAGCAGGTGCTGAGGAAGCGACAAAGAGTGCTGGAAGGATTCCCAGCTTTGGAGGTCTGGTAGGGGCGCCGGAAGGAAGCACAGTCATGCTTTACTAAGCATCTGGTGGGACAGTCCCACTTAAGCAAGGGGTATCAGGGTGGGTCAGCCTGGATTTTGAGGTCTTGTCTCACTCCTTGCTAGCTGTGCAATCTTAGGCAAGTCAGTAAACCTCTCTGTGCTCCAGTTTCTGTACCTATAAAACAAGGCTCATAGTTATCCTTGGGGCTCATTGTGAGGATGGCATGAGTGAATTACAAGGCATTCAGTCCAGCACTTGGTACATAGCGGACGCCCGTCACTATTCATTATTCTCACTCTGCCAGGCCCCCATCCGCACATAGTGAGGGAATAAAGGAAAAGCTGATTTAAAAGTTGTGTCCAGAATTCTTCCAGTGCAGAGAAGTCCTGTCATTCAGTTTTTGGGATGTTGGGAAGGACTGGTCCTGAGATTAAGGCCACCAAAATCATTTGGCAAAATAAAGTCAGTAGAATTTGAATCTCTGCAGTGTTGGTGAGGGGAGGAAAAGGACATGCAAACTGGTAGGAAGGAGAGTGGGCGAGTGTGCATGGCGGAGGGCTGAGCCCCAGGGAGGAGACCTGTCTCTCCAGAAACTCCCAGTGGCTGGAGTGGCAGAGGCCTTACAAGAACAAGGGTGTCTGATATTCTGTTTGCATCTTCCTCTGTGATGGAGTGCATTGCCCCCCACCCAGCTTCTTTGCGTCCCCTAAATCCTGCTAGGAACTTTGCTGGACGCAAAGGCGGGGTGCTGTTGGAACTCTGGGGAAATCAAGGCAAAAGTGTCTGCATTCTGTGATTTGGGCAAATAAGTCACGTAAGGTGAGCACATGCGAGATTCAAAATGAGCTGGAAGCAGAAAATTGGAACAAGAAGGGACGAGAAGCAGCACAAGCCTCGAGCTGACAAGCAGCCCTCCTGGCTTCCTCACCATATATCTGGGGTGGGATGGAGCCATTTTATTCGGAGATGAAAGAATAGAGCGGACCCTGTGTCCAAAGGACATAGGCTCAGACACGTGGCAGACAAGAGCTGTATTTGCTGCCCCATGTCACCCTCGTGGCGGCTCTGTGTGGGAGTCCTTGTTAACCCCATTTTCCTGATGAGAGGAGAAGCATGTGGTGGAAGGTTCTCCCAGGCCCCTTCCTGGCCCACAGTCCCAGCTGAACCCCTGGAATGGTCCACTGAGTCCTAAGCACAATGGAGTGCCTACGAGGTGGCAATGTCTCGTGACAGTCTCCTGGGAAGGAATGGGCAGCTTGTGCTGGGACCCAGAAATCCTTTCGTTACAAAGAGGATTGGTTTTCCGTGGATTCCCCTGCAGCTAAGTGTCATCTGGTGTGAAGTTACTGTTGTGTGTGTACACGGCCCTGCTTCCTGGGCTCGGGGCTGCTGCTGTCTTCCCGCTGACGGTGGATGATTTCCATCAGCTGGTGACAGAAGAGTCCCTGGAAAAAGTCTGGCTTCTGTCCCTGTCCGCCCCAGCGACAAACCACATGTTTCCCAGTGACAAACTACATGCTCCTCTAGGGGTTCCCTTCTGCCCAGAAGGGCTTGCAATGGCTTTTCAAAGGGACAGTTTGCTGCTTGTGCCCATTTAAGAGGGCTTGTTGGGGGAGGAGGCTGTGTCTTCAGACTCCCTCAAGACTATTGCTAGACTTTTTCTTCTAGATTTAGATACTGAATGAGAGAATTCCAGCGTCATAAAGTGTCAAAGCTGGAAGGACCTTCCAGCTCCTTTAGCACGTCGCTGGGATGTTACAGACGAGGCCCAGAGAGGAGGAGAGACTTGCTCAGAGAAACACAGCTGGCAGGTGCCAAGGTCAGTTCTGGAGCCCAGGTCTTGCTCCAAGGTGTTTTTCCACCTCCCCTTACTCCCGGGTCTGCAGTCTGCCAGCTGAGAGAAGTGTGGACTTGCATTAAAAGCAGGAGAAAGCCAAGGACCACAGAGAGCAGGTCACTGACATTTCATGGCTGGAGCACATCACGCAGGGGGAGAGAGGGGACCTGAGATTCTGACTCCTGCTCTGCTATCAACTCCTTAGCAACTCATCTTGATTGCTTGGGCTCCAGCTCCTCATCTGCAAAATGGGAATACCAATCCCCACGTTGCCTGCTCACAGGATTGAGGCAAAGTTCAACCTAAGGGCGGTACGGGAGGGTCTTTAACAATAGTCATGGCCCTAGTGGAGGGTCCTATTAGCATTTTTTTGTCTGGTTGCTGAGACATTGAATTGTGAACTGAGGTTGGTTTGGATTGGCTTGTATTCTGATATTTACAGTGATGGCCCAGATGAGAAGGGAGCTGATAAATGATCTCATCCATGGCTCCCCAAATTTTGGATTTAACGGACCAAAGAAATTGATCCCAAAATGAAAATTCAGTGACCAAGATACAGTGGGCATCTTTTGATTTTGCCTATTGTGACCACTAAAACAAACAAAGAAAAGTAACTCAGACAAAAAGCAATCCAACTTGACTCCTGTCTATATCAACTTCATGTTGTAAAAGAAATGACATTTTACCACTTGAGGAAAGGACATACTCTCAGAGGACAGAAGCGCCCCTTACCTTAAAAATACTTGGCTATGGGAAAAGGGGGCTGCCTTGTCCTTCTTTTTCCTCCTCCACTCTGGACTGGTGAAAGCCGTTATAGGGCCAGAACCGCTGCTTGGAGCCCCTGTACTTGGTAACCCATGTGGAGGTGCGGAAACTGAGATGCAGAATGGCTGAAGTCACATCGCCCCACCAAAACTGTCCTTCTCATTGAGATCATGTTCCTGTTCAAGATCGCCTCCCCCTCTCAAAAAACGAAAGGTTCTGGTCTTGGAAAGTCTGAGTGGATGTGGTGGCGGAACGATGGGAGTGGGGAAGGGAAGGTGACACTTACTCAGTGCACTTGGATTTTTGCAGGCTCTGTAAGAACATGTGTCACATGTTCTGACTCCAAGCCTGTGGGGTTTCCATGATAGGGGTCAGCAAACTCTGGTCTGTGGGTCAGATCCATCCCACCTCCTCATTATACAAAGAAAGTTTTATGGACTCGAAGCCATGGCTGCTCATTTGCACAGAGCCTGGGCTTCTTCTGCACTACAACAAGAGAGTTGACTAGCTGCAACAGAGACCTCACGGCCTGCAAAGCCTAAAATATTCACTATCTTGCCCTTTACAGGAAAAATTTGCTGACCTCTGCATTGTACCGTTCTCCCTTTTACGTGAATGGGACTGTCTGCAGTGGGAGGCATTGTGGGAATTGGGGTCATGTGCTAAGTAATTCTAGCCACGATTAAGACATTGTTGACAAAGCTGTGATTATCAGTCTGACTTGAAAGATCCAGAAGGCTTGTGTGTCTGGGTCCTTCTGCCCTTACTTGCTAAGTCTCTGGGTGACAGATAGCAGAAAAGGTTTCCTGATGGAAACTCCAAGTGCGATGCTGCTGGTGTGAGGAGCTGTGTCCAGGCACTTGTGTCCTCTGGTCCCAAGGATGCCCTGGTGTCTCTACCTGGGTACTTATGATGGCACGTCTACTTTCTCTTTCTCTCCTCCTTTTTTCTCTGAGCTGCCTTGTTATCCAGCTGTGCTTGCTGTCTGGGTTCTAAAGTTTACAGGACTGGAATGGGTTAATGTTCTTGAGTGGAAAGAACTTAGAGATGAGGACATCTGAGTTCTAGGTTGGCTCCATAGGCCCTTGGACATGACACTTCACTGGGTCTTACTTTTCCTCCTCTCTGCATTGAAAACATTCACCGGATGATCTCAAAGTTTTTCATCTTCAGTGTTAACCTAACTGCACATCCCCTCTCTGGGGCTGGTAGAGACGGCGCATTAATTAGTGACTTCACTGATAGGAAATGCGGGGGAGAGGAGGTCTGTTTTCACAGATCCTCAACTTCATTATGCATTTTGGCTACTACCAGTTACTTAACGATTACTGTGTGCTGGTTGCCATGCCAAGCAATTTACAGACAAGATCTGATTGGCTTCTCCAATACCTTCGTGAGGTGGGTATTACTATTCCCATTTTGTAGATGAGGAACTGAGGCTCCCAGGTGGAATGCAGAGCCAAGATTCATACCCATATTTGCCTGACTCCAAATTTCAAGCTTTTAACACAACACTTCTTTGCATTCCTGTCTATGTCCACGCAACAGCCCATGCCACAGGTAGAATTTTCATTAGTGGGAGAGTTGAGGGCTAGTGGGAGACTTGTGGGAATGAGGGTGTGGATCAGAGACTACTCAGACGAATCAAGATGCATCAGCTCAGCCCTGAGCAGCTCCCACCTCCGCCTCCGCTCCCTTTTCTGTAGGGCACTGTCCTGCTGTTTCTGGTTTTTAATCAACTGTGGTGTGATAAGGATGATTCAGTACATATTTACTCCTAATTCCAAGGTCTTACCTCCTTTCAGGGGGAATTTGCCGGGTGGGTTGGGAATGGAGTCCTGGAAGAGAAGGAAGAAAAAAAAGAAGCAACATGAGGATGACATCCAACTGAATCCACTCATCTTTTTCTCTTCCATCTTGGTGGTCCTCAAAGTACTGTGTAATTTAGATTTCACATTCCATCTGACCCTTAAATTTTTAAAAATTAATTCACTGACTTAGTTTACAAAGGGTTTTCCCATCTCTTTGCTTGACAACCTACTTATCAGGGATGCAAGATGAGGGTCACTAGCCACATTTCACAGGTGACAAACTGGGGGCTGAGAGAGGGAAAAGGAAAAGTTGACAGCAACTCAGGGGCCTGAAATCTGCAACTCTTAACTCCTAGTCCAGCGCTTTTTGTCTTTTTTAACCTCCACATGTGTTATTTTTTCCTCCTTCGGTCAACATAAGAACAATCAAGTGTATAAATGTATGCGTTTTTTTTTCCATGTTTGATTCATCAAAAGTAGGTTGTAAACATACCTGGGAAGGTACATTTCTATCTCTCCTGTGGTTGGAAATTCTGAATTAATTGAATGTTTATATGCTAAGTATTGTGAGGATACCATAAATAATTAGATTTTGTCTCTGCCCTCGTGGATTTATCACAGGTTTATATTTGAATATAATGTCTAAATATTTATAAATAAACACAGATGTATATTATATACTTATACATTCACATTATATTTTATATTATTTATTCTATTACAAACATACATATATATAGAGAAATATTTACACAGATAAGGAGGAGGTTCATGGAAGCAGATGTCCCTTGATGGGGGGCCTCCCAGGCTGGGGGATTAGATGGCATTAAAGAGAGGTCTTGTTGGGCTGCTCTGAGTATGTGGTCAGCAGAAGCAGGTGGGCACAGTTCTTCAGCTCTAACAAGTTCCTCAAGACTAACTAGTCTCTCTCCCCCTTCTCCCCACCTCAGCCATGGAGACACCCTCCAGTGTCCTGCCAATAAGGAATGAAATGCCTTATTCATCTTTTGACCTGTCCAGTTTGGGATCTCCTATGGCACATTGGATTGAAATATTAATAAAGACCTAGGGAGGTGTGAGCACTTACAAGGATAAAAACAACTTCCCAACCTCTGCCAGAGCAAGAAGTTAGCAGCTGCCCCATCTTATTTTCTTAGTCTTCCGCACAAACACCTAGGACCACCTGGAGGTCCTCTTCTATTCCACCATTTCCTTAGGGGCTCTGTCCTTTGCCTTCCACTGACAACTTGTTTTCTGAGAAGTGGATCTCCTCTCTACCCCAGGGGAGTTGTCATGAGTCCAGAACGTCTCCTGACAGCAAAGTTCTGGCATAGCACTGATCTGGAGCTGGCGGAAGGCAATATAAACTTTTGGTCTTCAAGTTTTCGGGGGAAAGAGAGTGAACTTATCTTGGAAGAGCCTTCCCTCATTTTTCTAATCATCTATAATTTTATTGCTTTAGTTGGAAGCTCTGAACCTAACTAACAATGCTGTATGTTTGCGGTCTCTCAGTTACGCATGCAGTTCATAGGAAAACCTGACATCGAAAAATTTCCCTCCATGTTGCCTCTGTGAGACAACAAACAGCATTTCAAAATTTAGTAAACACCTCATTTACGGCCAAGGGTGACTGTGTGAATGCACAGAGAAAAACTTCTACATTTAAATGTGGTGCTAAGACTGTTGAATTCATCAGCTGCCCAGAAAAGTCTCCAGGGACAGGGAGAGAATGCTGGAAGAGGAAACCCAGTGGAGCTAACCCAGCTGCCACCAGCAGCTGGACACAATACCAGAGATTCAGACATCCAGTACACGATGAGTGAACGCCTGGTGTGTGCCAGGCATTACATTAGTCCTTGGAAGACATCCTGTGGACTTTATGGCTTAGTCATTAAAGCTGTCTTAAAAATGTGCAAATAAATGGGGCTGGCCCCATGGCCGAGTGGTTGAGTTTGCGCGCTCCACCGCAGGCGGCCCAGTGTTTCGTTGGTTCGAATCCTGGGCGCGGACATGGCACTGCTCATCAAACCACGCTGAGGCAGCGTCCCACATGCCACAGCTAGAAGGACCCACAGCGAAGAATGTACAGCTATGTACCGGGGGGCTTTGGGGAGAAAAAGGAAAAAATAAAATCTTTAAAAAAAATGTGCAAATAAATATATAACTAGAACTGCAAGTTGTGGCAAGAACCACAGTGAAAAGAGTCAAAGCGTTTCAAGATGGTGCATGTGTGTGTATATGAATCACCTGGGGAGATGTTAAAAGGCAAATTCTGATTCAGCAGGTTTGGGTGGAGCTGGAGAGTCTGTATTTCTGACAAGCTCTGGGTGATGCTGATGCTCCTGGCCCACAGAACACATCTGGGTAACAAGGTTGTAAGAGAGAATATTTGGGAGGAGGATCTAATTTAGATGGGAGCTGGAGAGGCCTCTGTCTGTCATTTAAGGGCTTCCTGGCTTCCTAACTTCAGGCAGGAGGATGTCAAAACCAAAGCATCTTAGTACAGAAAAGAAGTCTTTTATTAAAACTTCATCCAGGGCCCATGACATCCAGGACAGAAGTGTGACTATTCTTAAAGAGCTCCCTGGATGAGGTCTCCATAGCTTCCCTGGATACCCATGGTAGAAAAGATCAGAGAATCAGAGTCAGAAAGGAACCTAGACATCTTTCAGTCCATCAAGCTAGTTTTACAGAAGAGGAAACCGAGAAGATGCTATCTTCAGAGCCAGGGATAGAAAAGCTCATTCTTCATTCCTCTCCCTTCCCATTAGCAGTCTTTGCATTTGGAGATGGAAAAGCAGGGTATAAAGAGATAACTTTTAAAATTTGCTGAGGACTGTTTATGCCCTTAGGCACTATGCTGAGTGCCATCCATCAACTCCTCTTTGGCCAGTCCTAGAATTCTCTTCCAAATCTTGCCTGGGGATCTGGGTCCTGGCTGGGGAAGTGTGAACCAAGTGAGTTGACTTTGAGGTAGACAGTACCTAGGTTGGACACAGCACAAGCAAATGGACCCTCCTAGGTTGTCATTCTCAGCGCCACTGAGTAGCTCAGGAAACTTCATCTCCATGGTTATCAGCCAGCTACACTTCCTTGGGTGTACTTTTGTTTCAGACTCTGCTTGTCTGATGAGTATCCCCAAAAATGTTTCTGTGTTTGGAGAGAAGAAGGTCATCTTTAACCTGCTCATTCCCAGGTGAAGTGACCTGATCCCATTCATCTTCCCTGCCGAGAACTCTGTTTCCTTGTTTCTTTTAATCATCATGATAAGAGGACTGATAATCCTTCCCCAGACTGGGTTGTTGCGGACATAATAAGATATTGTACATAAAGTGTTGGCAAGTACTCGAAAATGGCAGCTATTTTGGTTACTCCCTTGATCCTAATGACGTGCTTAATTTGTCCCAATACTTTGAAAGGCTCATTTCTTTTCACAGAGCAACGCTGTGCAGATGCAATCAGCTCCCAAATTTACTTTTCACAAAAGATACTCTCTCTGACTGAAAATGGCCAAAGGCAACTAATGTTTGGAATATGCCAGGGAGGGTCCCCATTCCTTTCCTTGCTGGTCTCACATTGTCTTGTAAGATGGGCCACTGAGACCTTTGCCATGAATGTCTCTTATTTTCAAGATAAGATCATTAAGCACTTGATGAGGGTGTTTAATCCCCCAGGGTTAAATGATTTACATGTATTATTCTATTTGATCTTTACTGCAAGAGCTAGTGATTGACTTAGAGAAGTGACTTAATGATTACAAAGGGTCCTACAGATGGTGAATTGCAGGGAAAAGATTCAAAATCAGGGGTGTTGACTTGGAAGGCAATGCTCTTCAAAGTCATGCTCGACTGCCTCTCTAGGGGAGGGCAGGATGAAGCTGGGGCAGAAAATTCTCCTGACACTCATTGAGAAAGTGGACGGAGGTCATAGAGGTCTCCTGGGGAGGAGAAAGACTATGTTTTTATTGGCAGCCTTTGTTTTGGTATGGTTAGTGAAAGTGAGAATTGGACCAGAGTGGCTTAAAGCAGTGCTTCTGCCACTGGGGATCTTGTTAAAATGTTGATTCTGGTTCAGTAGGTTTGGGATGGGCCCTTAGGTTTTGCATTTCTAATGAACATTTGCATTTCCAGATGATGCAGTGCTGCTGGGCCGGGGACCACAGTTTGAATAGCAAGGGCTTAAAGATATTACTCAACAGGCATTCAGATCTTCCTTCCCCAGGGAGTGGGGGGATGGCTACAGGAGGATGAGTCTGGAGCCGGGCTCATAAATGGATTTGGGAAATCTTTCTAGTCTGCTGATGGGAGTGGCATCCTCTCCTCTCACCTTCCTCAATCAATGAGTCTTGCCACCCAGGTCTACTTCCCGCTGCCCCATTGTGCAGTCTGGACTGACCTCTGACACCTTGCCTTCCTCTGGGTTTATGCCTCTGCTCACTCTTTTGCCTGACCTGGAATGCCCTGCCCCACCTCCACCTGCCACCATCCTTCCAATGGAGAGCTCTCCACCCTTCAAGAATTCCAGTTAATTAAGGTGGAAGGAATGATAGAATTAGGTACTCATCATTCTTCAAGCCTCAGTGCGTTAGCTGATTCGGAGAAGGATCATCAAGAACAGCCAAATTTTTATGTCTTCGAAGTATTACCCCATAGATTACTTACTAATAAGAAAGAAAAAAGCATTTTTACAAAACAGCTAGCTGGTGGTCACTACCTTAATCAAGTGACTAACCATTATCACCTATAATGAGACAGTCTGACCTAAGCCTGTGACAGTGCTACAATAAGAAGTATATAACATTACCTATGTACTGTTCTTGCCAAAAAGTGTTTCATCTGAATATAATCATGAGTAAACACTATGAAAAATCCAAAAATGAACTCTTCTGCAACAGAACTGGCCTAGACACTTCGAAAATGTCAATGTCATGAAAAAGAAACGACAAAGGGCTGGAGGGATTGTTACATCATTGCTTCTCAAACTTTAATGTCCATACAGACCACCCGTGGAGCGTGTTAACATGCAGA